TATCGTCCTCAGTGGGCATCATGACTTTGCAACAGCCAGTGCAGTAGAAGCTGGTATTACATTTCAGAAACTTGGCTCAAATCTCCAACTCTATTTGAGATACTGTTCAACCCTGGTGCTAGTGAAAAGCAGCATTTTTAAATAATTCTACGCTTCAGAGAAGAAGGATGGTCACTTTCCTTGCTCCTGCAAAGATATGAACCTGCCTAAAGCTCCAGGAATATTAGGGGTCTCTAAGATTTCTGCTTACTTGCTGCTTTCCACAAAAGCATTTAAGGCTATGTCTTTCCCTTTTTTAATAGCTTCGTGCAAACTTTTGCACAGCTTCAGTACAGTTATGACAGGGGGAAATGGGTTTGAGCCAGCTGATTTAATTGCAAATTGATGTAATGGGTCCAATTACTGAATTTGAGTCACCAAGGTTTTGAAGAACTGAGATACTTTTCAATGTAAGCAATAAATACCAGGGACAAAGCTATATTATAGGAAACCGAGACTATGACTGAGCTTTGGATAGTCAAGATTCTAGTTTGTATCATGTGTACTTTGGCAGCAGCTGACTACTATAGGAATAAAAAAGTAAGAACATGTGCAAATTGCAGCATGACACTACCACTCTGACCTCGCCGACAACTTGAAGGTCATCATTAGAAGAGTCTTCAGCTTTTTTGTGCCTTGCTGCACACAGGTTGTGAAGATTTATTACAATCATTGCATGAGAACACCTGCTGAATGTCAAAGGATTCCTGGGAAACTTCAAGTGTTTTGTTAAGGCAAAACTACACCTTTTACACAGCTTTCAAGAATACAGCTCGATGGAATAAAGTCTGATCTTCATTGATTTGTTCATGCTCTAAAGCAGAAATGTAACCACGAGTGGTATTCAGAAACATATTTTTCCTCCAGACAAATTTACCTGTGACTAAAATGATCCATGCCTTGCTTCCTGGGATTCCTGATATATGCATATGTATGTCATATGTCTGAGTAAGGACCAAATCCTTGGCTGAAGCCAGCTGACACTGCAGTAATGGCTTTGGTGAAGCTGTGAGGAGTTACACCAGCTGAGCACTTCATCAGGTGACTAAGCACTGTCTGAATGTATTGGGAAAAATTAAATTTGACTTGTGAAATTTATACTAAAGAGACATGGAGAAATATCTTAACTTTTGAATTCCTTGAGGTTTTGGCTGAAATCTGCCTTTGGCTATGTTGCAGTGTTCCTCCCCTACATCACCGTTTTATTTTCAGCTCAGTGATTCTTCTTTTTTTTTTTTTTTTTCTTTGAGCAATGAAACTCTGTCTGCTTTTCAAGACTAATATATGGCCCCTGAGTGAAGGCAAGGCTGTGATTCAAATCAAGAGTTCTGTTGACATTATAATCCTTAGGAGCACAGCTGGAGCATTTCATGAACGGTAGCAAAGACCCTCCATAGATTTACTGCCTTGGTATTCAATTGGGAGTCCATGTTCTGTGTCATTAGCTGCAACATACAAAAAATAACTCAGTGAACTTCTAATTAAGGCATTTAGCTTGTTGCCTATCTTGTAAGAAAAGATTTGTGCTATATATGAGATGCTGCTGCTTTTATGGATTCTCACCTATTTTTATAGCAGGAGGGCTTCAGGCCCTAAGAAGGTCCTGTGGGCTGTAAACGGGATATACACAGAAGTTGTGCTCTGATCCTTCCAAGCAGAAGACAAAGCAGTGCAGGATGGCAGGAATTTTCATGTGTCTCCCCTATGCTCTGCATCTTTTTTTTTTTTGTTCCAGTTTATATGTAAACCTTTCCTAGCCATAATCATCCCTCAAGCACCAAGAAAACCCAGAAAGATCATTCCAGCTCTGAAAGCTGCTAAGGGGACCTGTAGCTCTGTTTCTGGGTAGCAAATAAACCTTTCGCTTTCTGCAGTGCCAGTCTCCAGCTGCAGCATGCATGAGAGCAATTTCGAAGCCGTGCTTTTTCTCGTCTCGCCCCTTGTTCCCAGGGAGAGAGCGACTGTGCTGCCAGCCCCCACTGACCTGAAGAGGAGAGTTCCCTAGATTGTTTCCAGCTTGCACTGCTAGCTCTGCTGAACGAATAGCACTTACGGTATTTTTGGGGTGGTGACTCACAAGAAAGTCATGAATGCCCCCTTAAGAGGCTGTCAAAAGCCCCCTGGTAAGAAGTGTTTTATTTTTCCTGTCTTCATTGTCCAGGCTGCTTGTGGAGGTTTCCACAAGTCTCCAATGCGGTTTTCTCAATTCTTTGTCCAAGCAGCAAGTTGTAGCCTAAAAGGTAACAGAGCAGAGATGCAGACCCTAATCTGACACAATTCCTGTTTATCACCCCCCTACAGTGACACCTGGAACGTACAGCCCTTCTGGTCATCGCAGAGGGTGCCAAAGTGCCAGCCAGGACCATAACCACTGATGGTCCTGAATGCTTTTCACTTGCTTATCTGCCTGCTAATTTCAATGGTACTTTAGGCAGCTAAACACCATGGAAATTCAGGGCTCTAGGGATAAATGTCTCTTGGTAGATCTAGTATCATGTGTATCTGTTACATTTTCTTACCTTCCAAAAGTGCTTCAGAAACTTTACTGATCCTCTCAAAAAGAACATGAAGTAGTCAGGGATTGTTACCACAGATACTTCTAACTCCAGGAGTTATGAGGCTTAATGACTTCATCATGACCAAAGAAAAGCTGATGTTGAAGCACTGTCCGGATTCAAAAAAGAGCTTGGGACTGCCATAAGTTCTGAAGCTGAGGGTTATATTTGGACTGAAAGACAGCTGTGAAAAGGAAAAATGGCATATGACCATTTTTTTTGGTCTGAACACAAGGAAGAAGGTACAGTGCTTTAAAGGAAGGCACTGCCTGCTTACCTGCTTTCGGCTCTAATGTTTATAATCTTCAAGTACCACCATTGTGGTTTGAGCCCTAGTAGTGTCTGGGTTTCCCCCTTCTTTTACTAGGCCAGAGCTTCAGCTGGTCAAAGCTCTGCTAAAGTCCCCCTGTGCCAAGAAGATGGTTGTCAAGACCTACTCTGATGTTTGTTGGTATATCTAAAGCTTAGTGACGCAAAGCTTTCTGAATAATTCTTTGCAGGGCCCATCACCATTTTATTTGACCTGAATTGTTGGGGATGGGTTCTCAGAGGTGTGTGATGGCAATATGACAACACTATGAAATAGTAAAGCTGGCTCTCAGTTCAGCAGCGATCCCATCATCTTCTTGAAAGTGCACCATTGTAAACACTAAGTCATTCACAGGAAAGCTTAAGCCAACACTTTTGAGCCTGGAAATCTCACAGGGTGAACCAGAACAGACCTCTCCTGAATCACTATCAGCTTTACAGGTTGATGAAATGGGACTGAACCCTGTGGAATGTGTGACCATGGGGATCAGCTTCTAGTGTCAGAGTTACCCTGCAAGTGGATTAACTGCTGCTTCCCAGGGTGACCCTGCATCCTGGAAAAGTGCCTGGAGATACTGGGCAGGACTGTAAGATCAAAATTCTGTGTGTTTGTGGGCTTTTTGGAATAATTCTATCCACTGTCAATTTGCTATGGACAACTGGGTTGAGTGGCTAAGAACAGAAAGTCTGAGTTGCCACCTTCGTTATTTAAGGGTGCAGTATCTGTTGCAATGGGGTCCTGGTATTTTAGTGAGCCTTTTGGGTATAATAAAACCAAACAGAATAATAGGTGGTTTATGGCCATTAGTTTATTGCTGATCTACAGTCACAGCAGAGGCATTCACTGAAAACCTCTCAAGGACTCTTTGGTATATTCCTCTTGAAAATATTTAGCTGTGACTCCTCTCACTGGCATGGAGAGGAAGAGATGTTACAATATCTCACTTTCAGAACAACAAAAGGTTTACTAGTCCATTTATGGTGAAAGACTAAATGCAAGTCCTGCAGGAGTTGAATGACGGTAGGTAGATAAACCAACCACGAAATATTGATATTATTGCTACTTTAAAGGTATTTCTTAACGTTATTCTTGTCAAACAGATAAAATATTCTATAATATTGTTTTCTCTTGGAGCCTAGATTCTAACTTCATTAAAATCTGTGGGGAAAGAAACACCCAACTAACTTAAATGGTGCAGGGTCTGACATTAGTAAAATAATGTCATGTAAAATAATGAGAGTGTAAGGTTTATGACTGCTTATTTGGTGGGGCTGGGGTTATCCAATGGGAGAAATACTACCAAAGTCCAGCAAGATATGGTTACCAGGCAGGAATCCCAGGAGATTCTGTTACTACACAGGAATCCCATGAGACAGTATTATCAAGAAGGAATCTGTAGTATTCAGTTCACGACAAGGCAGTAATATTAGATTTTTAGAATTAAATCCCTTGGTATCTTGTTTTATAAGAGTTGGCACAGAAGGAACAGAGAAAAATGCAATGGAAGAAAGATGTCTCCCTGGAACCTGAGCTGGAAACCCTAATCGTTACACCAATTTCTAACACAAATAAATTGTCACATATTTTCCTCAAGAACCTGAGATATTTTTACTAAACATGATATCAATTGCTTATTAGGGAAATTTCTTTTTTTTTATGAAATACAGATTTGACAAAATGCCAAGGCACGAATACTGTTGTGACTGGTTTTTGATTGGTGTAAACAACTTTTTGATTTTTAATTTATAGAGGTTTTTGATTTTATCATAAGAAGTGCTACTTCAGAAGTGTGCAATATGGCTGTCTTACATTGGTACTAACCAAGATAATGAGCTGCTCAGAGCAGCGTCTTGCACTGTATGTTTGTGTGTTGCCTCATACAGTGACTTCTGCAGCATTTTAACAACAGAGAAATGTAAAAGGATTAATAAAATAATATTTATTTTCCTCCTTATCTTCTTCTTGTAGTACCAGTAACACTGGCTTATTTGGCAAGAAGTGGCTGGACTTTTGTTTCAAGAAGACCTAATTTGATTTCTGTTTCTCTCTGGAGATTGGCCACTACACCTGTAAGTTTTGACAGCCTTTTGCCAGCGATGGAGGGCATTCTCAGAAAGCTACTGCCAAGCTGCCCAAGGGAGGAAACTAAGGCTCGCTATTTCCATTTGATCACAAGAGGTAAGTCTGAATGCTCATCATCTTGTAAATACAATATTTTGCCTGCCAGTATCATGGTACATCTTTCTCAGATAAACTCTGATCAACGACTAAAGCCCCCTTAACATGAAAAGAGTTTAGTGTGAAGAGACACATCGATTTTGCGGTTAGCCTGAATACAGGCCATGAATGGGTGTTGAATTAGGACCTGACACTAGGTTCCAGGCATACTTTTAATTCATCAATATCTCTAAACAGATCCTTTCAGAGACATACCTCTGAAGCTGTGCTTTGAAAGGTTAGTGACAGGTACAGTAGGTCATTAACTCACATGGCCCCACGAGAAGAGTTAGGAACACGTTGGAATGGCTTGTCTCTCAAAATTTTACATTATGGAAGAGTGAGACAGGAAAACAAAGGACTTCACTCTACTTTCTAGCTTCTCATTTGGAAAACTCTTGAACAGAGCATTGGTAATCTATGCTGGGACATTTAAAATGTTGATCAACAGGGGTGCCAAGCACAGCCGCAAGGATCAAGACTAAAAGCCATCAAGGAGAACACTGTGACCCCACTGATGCCATTGCTCCTTGGATCCTCAGCGTGACACAAGGACAGCCATTCCAAGGCTTCACGTCCTCGTGGCTGTGCTGACAACAAAGGTGTCACCCATGGGGCAGTGTCAGGTATTCCCAGCGCTTTTCAAAGCTGCGGAAGGGCTTGTCCCTTGTATTCAGATGTGATTACAGCAAGCTGAAGAAAAAGAAAAGGAGGAGGCAGGAAGGAATATAAAACTCAAGAGGCATTAGCCTGTTTGCTGTGTTTGAGAATACATTTGCTTGAGTGCCTGTGAACAAGAACCCAGGCACAACTAAATAGTAGGCTTAAGGAAAGTCAGTTTAGCTTCAGAAGAGGGTGTACATACACTGATCAGATCTTAACCCTAAAAGACATAATCAAACAATTGTGTGAGCATGGAAGACTGCTGAATGTGCTAAGTGGACCATTAGAAAACACAACACCTATAGTGGGGATATTGGTGACACCGAGGTACTAGGGAGATTACAGAGAGAGATTACTGGTAATGACAGATGGAAAAGTTACTGAACCCACACATTGGAGAGATGCAAATCACAGCCATAGGGCTTTTCTGATAAGGATTTAAACTCAGTAGGTAATGGTTTGGGACCATTAGTTCACATACCATGGCTTTAACCAACAGCCCTTGGACACTAATGGCTTGCAGTCCCAGTGACAACAGGGTTGCATCACCCCAGCGGTCCTGGGGCAGCCGAATCACCGGGGTCTTTGAGCACCTGAGGACTCCCCACACACCGCCGATGCACTTTTTGCTCGGTGCATGGCATGTACCTCTGTCCAGAAGGCTACAATAATTTTGGGTGGAGCATCATTTAAGAGTGAACTCCACACTGAAATTCATTCTCCATGCATATAGTGACCAATTCCACTGATGTAACAAGAAGGAAGCAAAAGTCAAAAGTCCGTATCATCTGGGAAGAACTGGCATCATTAGTATGTTCAACATTAAGCCCAAAGCGAGGCTGATAATTTGTGGATCTCTCGAGACTGACAAACTGTTGAGGAAATATCTTTATCTATAAGAAACCACTGATAGTTCACAAAGTTTGCCTTGTCCTACTTAGTTAAATGGCTTTTTTCTTAGTACAATGTGCTTCTAAAAGCTTTTTCTCTTATATTACAAAGAAATCACTCTCATCTTCCCTCATTTTCCTAGAGCTTTTCACTAATACTTTCTGCTTTATTAGCTTCAGCAGCATCACCTCCTGTACTTACCTGTATAAATGAGCATGCAACATATATTTTCAAAAATTTGACAGGAGCCGCTAGTTTCGGGGATAGAGTGGTGTTTTTGCCGCCTGACTTGATGAAGTCAGGTAGAGTTGCAAAGCAGCCTACGCGGCAAGTCACAAGATTGAGACTTGGAGCAGAAATCTGGTCATGAATTTGGTTTGGGATTTATTGCTCGGCAACTTGGAGCATAGCTAGTCAGCAGCTGGCTCTCTAGCCAAAACACACTGGCAAACAGAGAAAAATTGTCATGGTAACAGCGTTACAGCGTGTATCGCAATGGCACTCTGGTCTACTAAGGGAATTCCTAAGTGGTACCACAGTAAAAATTATGGCTAATAATAACCAGTAATAGTAACTATCACTACTACTAATAATAGCAACAATTATATTTATACTATAACAACAGTGAGATATATTTGGCTAGTATTTGGTGATTCAAATTGCTGTTTAAATATGCCTGGCTGATTTCTTACAAGCTCTCTGCTGAGGTATTGCAGCTCATCCAGCAATATAGGGTTAGTCCACAAGCAAAGGCATTCTGTATGTTCCCCTCTGCAGCTAAGGGAAATGTCTTTCGCTGATCCCTAATCATCACAGAAGATTAAATAATATATCAAAATATGCCACTTTGTCTTAAATGGTTATGGTGATGGAAATGTTGAAGCCCCTGAAGGAGCAGTAGTGCCACAGCAGGGTGTTGGGTACAAACCGTTGCAGCCCCGAAAAAGAAGAGTTCCTGAAGCCACTTCAACATCATCAAATCATAATCTGATGTTTTGGGGAGCAAACTCTGCAGTCTGCGTTCATGTTGAGTTGAAAACACCATGAAGCACGAGAATGGGTTGCAAACCACACGTCAGGCACAGTAAAAAATAAAGGCCATTTGCCGTTGTTAAATAATAGACTACAACAGTATACAAAGTTTGTTCCCGTGATTCTGAATTATGATTGCACCTGCACCAAAGCTGTTACAGGAGAGAGTTTTGGGGTAGCTATTTATTTACACTCCATAATATTCCTGCAGCAATTTAGATAGACTATTGAGGTGATGGGCATTGGGGAGGAGAGGCAAACTCCCTAAGCTCTGTAAAGATCTAATGTAGAACATTTGTCAGCACAGTTCTTCTAACTCCTCTCATTTATCCTTCCAGCTCGCTGGGTAAACCCCTTCCACAGCCAGTGTGAGAAAGAGCGGGGGAATTTTAGAGGGAAAGTAAGAGAGGAGATCTGACTGCAGGTGCAACGCACCCCCAAACTGCAATATGTTTATTGTGGATGATACCGGTTGCCTCTTCAACTACGCATAGTGAAAACTGTCACTACCACCAAAAATAACATTCCTATTAACTCATTTTGGCAGCAGTTCAGTGGGGACTTCCAGGCAAACAAACAGGGTAGCTTTGAGGTCTCCCTGGCTCTCACTCACTCTGATACCTTTCAGTCCCCAGCCAGTGGGATTTTTACTGGATCACAGTCCAGCACTCCACAAAAACAGCTCCTGAGCCAGGCTTTCCATCCACCGTCTTGGCATAGGGCAGAGTCAGCACCAAAATTGCCCACCTTGCCTGGGCTAGCTTGGTTGACAGGATCTTCAGGCCTGATCCGATCTCTCCAAGGGTGGCTCTGATTTGACACAGTGCTCTAGTCCTGAGTTAACATCTTGCCCAGCTTCAGCTCCCATCCTTCTGCAGCCACTCTTCTCGTGTGGGACAAGTCATGACCTGTTCCCATCCTCTTCTTTAAACCAAGATGCAGCCAGATGGGTACCATTCATCCAGGTTGCTATCCTGGTGTTAGTCAACAAAGGCCAGATGAAAATGACCTAACTGCAGTAATTTGTAATTACAGCATGTAAAAATGCTATTGAAAACTAGCAGCTACCTGGGCGTTTTGGAGGACAAGTCAGTTGGCAGCTTACTGTGTCTGCTGTTTTGACCTGTTTGTGGTTTGATTGTAACTGAGGCCTTAGACTGATGTTTGTCAGGAAAATAATAATGGGAATGAATCCACAGTGTTGTAGACAATAGGAATGACATTTTGCAGTAAGGACTATTGTATTGTCATTATGTTCCTTTGTCTTCCAGTCCATGAAGCACTCATAAAGACTCCAATGTTTTTTATTTTTCCGAGTTCCTGCATTAGAACTTGAAGTGATAAGTAGCCTCCTAGTATGTTGGTCCAACACTCTCAGGAATATAAATTTACAAATTAAGAAGTGGAAGGAGGAGGGAGAAGAACACGGATTAATTTTGAAAGGAATTTTTTAATGATGGAATCCATTTTTCACCCAAATACTAGTATCCAAATTTAGTTTTTATCCCCTGAAACAAATGGCTATTCTGAAAACTCCAGATAATCTTCTACTACTTCATTCCAGCATTCTGAACTTTTGTTAAGGTAGCCAAAAGCACTTGCTTTGCAGTTCCAGAGCAATGCTAAATGGCCGTGGATGTACTGAAACTAGCCCCTCTGATTTTGCTTGGTTCTTTATGTACTGGAATAAATTGCATGCAGCTCATCCCATGTGGGTCAACAGGAGCTCTGCTGCACTCCTTTTGTGGTGGAGGGTGTGCTTCAGTGGTTATTATAAGACTGTAAGACTTTGGGGTTCACAGGGCTTTTTCTGGCCGTGTCTCTGACTGAGTGGAATATTTTGTGACTGTATATAGCATGTGGCAAATAGCATAGCAGTGACTGCACAGCACTGTCTGAATTCCCTGGGCAGGGAGTTTTCCCTTCATTATGTATCATTCCCATCCCACTGTCCTGATTCCAACAGCTCACATGTACGTACTCCATTCCCATTAATATCAATAGTAATGTACATAGAGACTCATATCAAAATACTCATTCTGAATGGGTGTGCTCTGAACATAAAAACAACATCTGTAGTAGGGATTGGACTTTCTGTAGGCTCAGCTTCTTTTGTTTTTTTCCCATTATCTCAGGAAGTTATGTGGAAATGAGTGAGAATAAAGTTTAGCTCAGCGTCTTTCACGCAACAATTTACCCATTATTCCAGCTGAGTATTAGCAAAGTGAAAGCGTTGGAGCTGTGGGGCGTGTTCTGCTTGCATGTGATAGGTAACAGGTTTTAGATGACCACACCATTACACTCAACATTTGCAGGTCATACATATTCAGGAAGGAGACATGGCTTAGTTCCAAGTGGCTTCCAATCTACCAGTG